GGAGCGATTCGGGGACAGAAGATGAGAGTTGATTGTGGAAATAGAATATGTGTATAAAGTATTACTACTTTACAACCAATCTATCTGGTACGGTACGACCTAACGGAAATTAATGCTCAAGCCAATATGACTCGCTTTGATCATCCTAATATACAAGCTCAATGATCACTCTAAGATATACCAAATACGATCTGAATGAACATAAAATGATTTTCACTTTCATCTCGCATACCAGACTGAAATACGATTATTTGATTTGATTGTATTTACATTCTTGTATAGTTTAATTATGTAAGTTTGTATCATTTTTGTTATTTTTATTCACATTAGTTGTTTGAAATGTATATTTTTGCACTACCTTAAGTTGTATGTACTTTTAAACGGGTTAAAAAATGTGTATCAAAGTAGTGAATCATTGTATGTTATTTTCCATTTTTTGACGAAACAAGTGTTCCGTGAGCGAATTTTCGATCGTTAAAACATGTGTAAAGAACGCTGATCGATTGGTGGTATCCAGCGACAACTGATCAAAAGACCGAATTATTGACCTAAGCTCCCAAATGATTTACGATAAAGAAAATGCCATATTATGGGGTCTTGGAGACTATTGAATTTCATTGAAATCACGAACCGATCTAAGTCAGACCGCCATTAAGTGCTTAGAAATACTGAACGGCCGTTTCGTCCTAGTACGGGACTCATCAGCCTCCGGGTTTTGAATAGTGGTGATTTCAACAAAATACCACAATCCAGAGGAATGGGTTTTACTTAAGTTATAAAATGACATGCTTATGTGCAAAATATTAATACAAAGTAAACATGATAAATTGTCATAGGTGATTAGAGGAAATTAGTCACTCACTTATTAATTGTTTGAGTTAATTCTTCGACATCATATCACAAGTTCCGAACTTTCTGAACATAATTATCATTTAGTTATTTGCATGGGTTTGTATGTCACTGTTGTTGATAAGACTGCGATTGATAAGTTTCTCATACTTTATGTTCATTCTATGTGAATTCCCTCGATATAGATATTTTTCACAAGTTTTATTAATATTTGGTTCTGGATTTTTCAAATGAACACTGATACTTGACAAATAAGATGTTTATATGAATGATACTGAAGATTGTGATGACAATATCTTATTTGACATCTAAATATCTTTAAGGAAACGGAATATATCCATTAAGACATCAAAATAAGAAAGAATGGTTCAGCAAAGTGTTCTTTTTTAGCTTTGAAAATGAGTCCTCCGAAAAGGGAACTCTTCGTTGAACTGATCTTTTTTAGTTTAAATATCTGTCATTTATGTATGAATTAAGCTTGAGAAAAGAAATTCATGTAAAAATATTGCATTTTGTATGAAGAATTATTATACCGGTTATAAAACACTAAATTTGTTAAACTGTTTCATAACTATTTTATTTTTGAAGAATTATGTGGCCAATAGAAGTACAGTTATTTGAATTCTTTCACAATAATATACAGGTTTAGTCTATATTCGGAAATGTTTAGATTAAAACAAAATCTTCATATCTCAGGAAAAACCTATATCCGAGCTCTTCAGTTTTTTCTAGGTGTTAATTAATTGTTTCCTACAATGTAGTTACATATGTTCCTATGTTCAATAATTGTTCATTTTATATCCTTTTCACAAAGGTATCTCCATATTTATATATAATGTATGACCTTCACAAATAACTGTCAGTTCTAGTTGCCAAATCTCACATTAACACCACTTGATTCGCTTCCTTTTTTTGGATAATAAGCAAATTGTGAGAGTCAAAAGCTTCATTGTAAATGATAAAAGTGTCATCAATATATCTCTTCTATGTATGTTAAAACCTCTTACAGACTTCACTGAATACCTTTCTCAGTATTGGTTCACAAAACAAACCTAAGGATTATTTCATTTCTAATACTAACTCGGTAGTTTGTTGAGGTTTAAATGAATATTCAAAGTTCATATGATTATAAACTCTCTCAGGATGAAGGCATATCGACACTTAGTCTATATATATCAGGGTAATCAGATATAAGTTTACTTGAACGGTTACGTACACCATGATGAGAAAAACCACGAGTGCCTCAAATCAGATGTTGGTATTCTTCATTCTTGAACTTTAGATAGTTCATAGTGTCAAAGAATTATAAATCTTATGACTTATTATTAGTCGACAAATTGTAGATTTTACTAAATAATTAAATCGTCAAATAAGTGAACTTTTAATACGTCACTAATTAGTTCAGTCAAAGTTATTAATTTTATTCTGAATAATAGTTATTTCTATGTCTGACGTTAACACTTAAATAAGGGTCAATCACCGTAGTCTTAATGACTTATCTGTATGTAGTGAATTATCAATGTTTATTTGTTTTTACACCCACTACATCTGACCGTATACTACTTAATAATATTCAGTAGTCTGGTAATATTTGCATATTATCCAATGTGATGAGGTTTCAAATTTCCACATTATTTTCCTTATTATCCTTATCTCCTCTTGTCCCCTCCCCCATTTCTAATTTAGTTGACCTTTTATTTTTATATATAGGTGTTCTTAGCAAGTATATGTGTGATCAGATTGTTGGAAGTGTATTGCGCTAATGTATTACATAGTTCTGCTGATCTTCGTCTTATTACACTATCGTAATTTATCAAAGCGACTAATTGCTTCAAATTCAGTAGTCTATATTACAATAATCAGTTTTGGGACATGTTTCGCGAAAATTTCCCTTGTTTTAATTGAGCTGCTATTCCTAAATATTTACATTTTATCCGACTTCTGATCCGTTTTGTTACCTACGAATTAGTAAATAGCTGTGGTGCTGAATAGATTGCTAAGAGTTTTTAGGTGTTATAGTAATAATGATAACAATAGTGATGACAGCAATAATGTGTGTGACTAAGAAAATACAAACAGGGAGATTGCATTAATAATAATCGAATTATGTTGACGTATCACCAAAATGATAACTAATTAGGTCAGAAGCTGGTTAAGGTAAAAGGAGTGGTCGAATATACTTCTGGATGCAAGGCTCTGGCCTTTTGATCCGAGTAGCTATTGCTTCAGCCGTCTGTTGGATTGGGCAGATTGGTGTTAGCGCGATATATTGTTGTAAATGATTGCTCTATGTTGGTTGTTTATACTAAAATCGAGTTGTTAACAATTTTGACCATATCTTTGTTTAACTACACTAGGTGCTCCCAAGTACGACAATACATATTCCTGGAACACCTGCCAGTCTGACTTTTTCCACAAAAGCAGTTGAACTGATAGATGAAGAAAGTGGCTAGTAAAGGTTATTTATTTTTCAATCTCAGACGGGCCATCGTGTTATTCAGACTTGGTAGTGAATGAATAAGCATCAGGTTATAATTCGCATCACTGAAAATTATCACATTTTGACAAATTTGGGTTGATAGGAAAGTTCAGTTCCATTAACACGATAAAGAAATATCACATTAATTATCTCATATAAGTACAGCGTTTGAAATTTAAGCTATATTCAATTTTCGGTAACTTTGACTTCGTCTAGTTCATATAATTCTACGTATGTTGAAGCAAACTAGAGTTTAGATGTTCAAGATTTCGATGTATTCAGAAATTGAAGATTTGTACTCTTTCTGTTTAGACATATTATTAGTTCGCGATAAAATCACATTCATTCAAATAATCGTTTCCTTAAATATCGCACAACAAAATTTGACTAGAGTACTTATAACTTTTCTTAGTCAAACATTGTTGTCTTTAATTTAAATATATTATTATTATTAGTTTAAAATCACTATTAAGCTCCGAATGCATAATTAATCTACTTAGCAGTTATCCCATTTTATTCATTTTTACTAATTCCTCCTAACGTTTTATTATACACTATAGCCTTCCACAAAATATTTGATCTGATTTGTATTTAGATCATTATCTGTATCACTTCATATTAACCATATTTATTCTGATCATTATTTTCACAATTCCATTTAACGTATAAACTTATTCAAGTTTATATTACACATTAGTTATTACAACACAATTTTATATATCTTGAATTCTCATGCCATAATTTGATACGATATATTTTGCCTTAAACATGGACTCAGTTTGGATTTATTTTTTTGGATATATAATTGTAGAAACTGAAGTGAATTTATTTATAAAAGAATATTCTTCATTCATATATCCGTGTTCCGTTATTTTACTTAGTATATTACAGATAAATCTCGTGTTTTTCTTGAGAGATTCTACGCTTAACTCGAACATAAGTCTTATGACTTTATGTCCGGCTTTTTATCACGTGATTTATCCACCAATCAAAGTACGACTTATACAATCTTCGCACCGTGCCAAAACCAATGACGTTCGACCGGTATGGGTAGTCTAGCGTCCTTATTGGTCCTATGTCCGCCTAGCCCGTCCACTTGAGTCTAGAACACCGAATACCAGCTCCCAATATGCGAATCGAATAATTTATTTCAGACATACTGTGTTTATATATATCAATCAAACAGACCGCAACGCACCATAAAATAGGAAATAACATTTGTACACAATAAAGCCAAAAAGTGGCTGTGAACGTGGGAGGCAGTAGTCAATAAACTGAACATAGCTTAAGAACAGTAAATCGTACAATAATAAATTATAAGTCAAAATAAAGCTTATAATACGAGAAATATAAATATACATAATCTAATCATTGAATAGTTATACCATAAGAATGTATAGATAATATTAGTCAATTAATGTCTCAGAAGTTACTCGTGATTTAATCTTCGCTCGGACATAACAATAAGGTTAGGATTCTTGAAATGATTTTTGTAGTCAGTCAACATTGAACCTGATATAATTGAAGTTTGGTTCAACGTTTTTTTTGTTATACCATAAAATTAAATAATGATAGTTTTATCATTGTAATTTATTCGAAATTTCGTCAATAATCAAAATAATGATGAAAATGTCCTTTCTTTGTTTTTTGAAAAAAAATGAATGATTTACAGTTAGTCACTCGTCCTAATAATCTTTATCAAACCTTTAAATTCAATAGTTCTACGATGCAGAAACGAAATTTCGTAAGCGATTACGTTTTTTTCTCTTTTGTTAATTAATGTTTTCTCTTCAATGATAACTCTAATTCTTTGTAAAGATACAGCAACACTGTTCAAAACCATAGCCAAATGATTTTGTTGTTTGAAAAAGGTATACGTAGTCTTAGAATAGCTGCATCAGATATTGTATTGAGTGGTAGTTTCTAGGAAGCCGCTTTTTTGTGGTTTCAGACTGTTTGCATAGTACGAAGCTTTCAATTTAGGAAAATGGTCGATGATGACTATTTGAAACTTGACTTACTATAAGGATGATTGATGCAATAATCTTACAACCGCCTCATAATAAAAAGACTGCCTGAATTTGCAACATTCATGTGTATTTATCAACTCAACTGCTCTTGTGCAGCCAGTTATGCAGGGCGTGCGATTCGGCAAGTCCATCATCGCATAGTAGAACACCATCCGTCTTGGTTGAGCAAAGGATAGGTAAGAATGATTAAGAGTTTTATTCTCGCTCGCTTGGTGTACACAGGTCATCAAGTTAACCTGATTAAAGCTTTTAAGGTATCCACCATATTCCATCAAATTTACCACGTTTTACGAGTTCGCCTTTTGCACATAACTGAAGCTGTCGGAATCCATATTCACAAACCACACATTTTCATCCAAACTAAGTTTATACAACCATTCTCACTACCTTGATCATCGGTATAGGAGTGAGTTCAAAATATCTAAACTGTTTTCCAATTTCTTTCACTTTTGTATTATATATATCCTTAACCTTCGTCCCTTGATTCTTATATAACAACTATGGCAATATCAATTAAATGTAATTGAGAGCCAAACGTTATTTACTTCTGAAGCTTTAAACCTATTGTTAGCTTAGCCAACATACTTTTTGTTGTGATTTTGTATAACCTCTTTTGTTTGTCAAAAATCACTTGCTTTATTCAATAACAAATTCTGTTGTGGAAACATTTTTTGTTTTTAAAATTTTATTGTAGAGTAATTCTGCTACATCAAAAGCTCACAGTAGAAAAGTACTAATCCCGTCTCTTTCAACTCGACCATCAGAACAAGATATTTGTGAGATATTAAGGAAAAAATTGGAATTTAAAAAAGATAATAATTTATCTTTACCCACTCATTATCAGCAAAACAATGATACTAACAATCTTCTATCTTGTGATAATTCCATATGGCAACCTTTATCACCAAAAATCGATCATGAATTACGTAATTCAGAACGAACAAATCGTAGTCTACTCACTAGTATTTTGTCAGAACTACCTGACTTAACAGCTGATTTTTATCCTTCAACAACTAGTCGAGTTAATGATTCCCAAGTATCGCTTAGAAAACGTTCTCAAGACATAGAGAATAAACCATTTAATCTTCGTCGTAATTCATCAAAGCGTATGGGTTGTTACGTAGAGTCTCCTGAAAAAGCTTTTCATAATTGGGTTACGTTCGATTCTAGCCCACCTACATGTTCTTCTGAGTAAGTTTTTGAAATGCTTACTTTATATTTTTCAAATTGTAGCAAAGGTTAGTTTCAACTTCCATTTCTTATAGTTTAATATTCTAAATACAATCCCTCGAATGTCGGAAGACGTGTCCCTAGTATATTATTTACTCATATGGAATAGGAAACATTGATTCCGAAACAATGATCAACATGCTATCCTAAATTCTAGTTAGGGTTAGCATCAAGTAATTCTACATCTCACAAAATAAAACGATAATGCAATTCTTGAAGTAAAATCAGCTTCCATACTGAAAAATGTTCACTTACATAGTGTTAGGATAAAATCTTTGAGTAAAATGAAATCTTTAATCATTTTTGTGTACTTCTTGAACTTGTATATGTTGACTTTATTTAAATCTATAATTATTTAAATAATAATGGCTTTATTCTGTATTACATATCTGGTACAATGTAGGATTCTCATGTTTTTCGTGGTCCAGTGTGCTATTCACTATCTTGCGCACTTTAACTATTTGATGCTTACGAAGAAGTTGTACCAAGCATATCCAGACAACAACACCTATTTTCAAGCTTTAGTTTGTTGAGATTGTTTGCCGTAACTAAGTGTTTCACGTTTATGATCTATAGGTCCAAACATTTGGCTTTTAGTTGTTGTATGAAGCACTTCAAATCCTATCTCTACTTGAATCTGGATAATAACCAGCTATAAGTTTGGGTACTCAGTTGTTGTGTTATATTAATCTGTTTAAATTCCAGCTTATTTAAATTAGTTTCAAAGTATCTGTAGAATGGTGAACAGATTTCGTAACCGTTAGTGATTTTGATTCAATTTCCTGATGTAAATTACAAGTTGTATATTTCCATTAATCCTTCACATTTCTCATTCTTTGTATACATATTTTAGAGATCTTATTAATTTGACTGGTTCCCCTTCCAAATCATCCAATATGCTTGATCCGTTTTCAGATGATTCATTTGTAAGTGTACTTTTAAATCATTCAATTTTAAAATATCTGTAACTTCATAGTTGTGTTAATGTCTAAGCGTTTTTATTAGCGTAGGAAAACGTTTAATAATGGTGTTTCCAAGATAACATGTATTTTATCGACTTGTGATAATGCTAAAACTATGGAACATTATTAAATAATCTATTTAGAACAATCTATATTTTACTATAATTCATCAGAAAATTCCTATTTAATTTGCAAGAGTTTATGTATGATTTAATTAATATATTTATACTAATCCTTGATTGTAATTTAATGTCATATAGTCATAGGCCTCTCTTCGGTTTGTAAACGACTGGTATGCTAAATATATTTATAATGATAAGAAATAAGTTTATGAGATGAACACGTAAAATCCAGCACAATTTTGTGTCACTTTAATTTGTTATCACAGTAGAAATCAAGTAACTAGAAGCTAAGAAAAAAATATGAAAAAATTGTATTGCCAATAATGGTGATAATATATCATTAAAGTTAAATGATTGTTACCTGAAAATGAACTATGTAGGATCATGCCACGCTTAAGATTTCAAAGGAAACAAAAATAAGCACTTTCGATTGACTGGAACAAATTTTGAGATCAATTCTCTAAGGTCTCTAACTATAAATAACAATCATTTATGGACTGAAAACCGGTAATCCTACGCTACTGTAGGGGTTGGTCTATTCCCTTTTTTTTCGTACACACAACTACATGTTAACTGAAAGTATATACGAAAAGATGTAGTTAATTTTACAAAGGTATAAGTCAAAAAAAATTTCTATGACTCAACATGACGTATTTTAGGGGACAGTAGTTTTTATCCATTGCTTGTTCGCGTTTCTTATTTTGTTTGTGATATGTTTTGTTAATTTGAACGCTTTATTGGGTTCCTAAGCTATTTTGGTAACCAGCAAGCTACAACTAGCAAAGACGGCGGAAAAAGCTGCTAGAGAAGGAAATATGAAACAGCTTTACGATACAACGAAGAAACTAGCAGGGAAATACAGTAAACCATAGAGACGGGTCAAAGATAAAGAAGACAAGCCAATCACTGAAATTCAAAACAGCGGAACAGATCGGTAGAATACTTCGAGGAACTCCTGAATAGGCCAGTTCCAATGAATCCACCGGACATCGAAGTGGCACACATAGATCTTCCCATAGACGTCAACCCACCAACGAAGGAAGAAATCAGAATGGCCGTCAGATAAATCAAGAACGGGAAAGCAGCGGGACCGAACAACATACCAGCTGAAGCACTGAAGTCAGACATCAAAGCAACTACAAACATGCTTTACCTTCTATTCAAAAAGATTTGGGAGAAGGGACAAGTGCCGGTGGACTGGAAAGAAGGGCACCTCGTCAAGATTCCAAAGAAAGGAGATCTGACCAAATGTGAACACTACAGAGAACTCGTCACTATACATCAACTTCATTGATTATGAAAAGGCATTTGACAGTGTGGATAGGAGGACGTTATGGAAACTTCTTCGACACTACGGAGTTCCTGAGAAGATTGTCAATATTATCCGGAACTCATACGACGGACTATAATGCAAAGTCGTGCATGGAGGACAGCTGGCAGATGCATTCCAAGTAAGGACCGGAGTAAGACAAAGCTGTTTACTCTCTCCCTCTTTCTTCTGGTGGTCGACTGGATTATGAGGACCTCGACATCTGAAGGAAAACACGGAATACAATGGACAGCTTAGAACCAATTAGACGATTTGGACTTCGCAGATGACCTAGCCCTCCTATCGCATACACACGAACAGATGCAGACAAAGACAGCCAGTGTGGCAGCAGTCTCTGCATCAGTAGGCCTCAGCATACACAGGGAAAACCAAAGTCCTCAAATTCAAAGCGGAAAACAACAATCCAATCACTCTTGATGGCGAGACTCTGGAAGATGTAGAGTCCTTCACATACCTAGGAAGCATCATCGATGAACAAGGAGGATCAGCTGCAGACGTAAAAGCGAGGACTGGCAAATCAAGGGTTGCATTCCTTCAGTTGAAGAACATATGAAACTCAAAACAACTGTCAACTAACATCAAAGTGAGAATCTTCAATACCAACGTCAAGGCAGTTCTACTGTATGGAGCTGAAACTTGGAGAACTACAACAATCACCATCAAGAAGGTACAAGTATTTATAAATAGCTGTCTTCGCAAAATACTCAACATCCACTGGCCGGATACCATCAGCAATAGCCTTCTGTGGGAGAGAACAAACCAACTTCCAGCTGAAGAAGAAATTAGGAAAAGACGATGGAAATGGATAGGACAAACATTACGCAAATCATCAAATCACGAGACAAGCCCTAACTTGTAATCCTGAAGGGTAGCGGAAAAGAGGAAGGCCTAAGAACACATTACGTCGGATAATAGAAGCAGATATGAAAAGGATGAATAGGAACTGGAAGGAGCTGGAAAAGATTGCCCACGACAGGGTTGGATAGAGAATGCTGGTGAGCGGCCTATGCTCCTTCCCGAGGAGCAACAGGCGTAAGTAAGTAAGCTAGAACTGCTCAGCGACCTAAACTCGAGAGAAATGGCGCAAAGTCAGCGAAAAACACTTTACTCCAAAGGTTCATTCTTGTACAGAAAAACACGGGTATTTATAGATGTTAACATTTGTTAAATCAACATCATATTTTGGTCGATCCGCTAAAAGACATATTATGCTAGTGACCAATAGTAGCACGCCACGTTGATATTCTAAAAAGCTCCATGATGCTCTGACTAGCTAGGACTCTTCGGCTCCGTTAGGGCCTCTGGAGGCTCCGTTGCAGTTCTCGGAAAGCCGACTCAACAGTTTGTTATCATCTCAGACATAATCTTAAACCACAAAGTTATTAACAGAATTTAACCATGAAAGTTTTAATATGGGAATGAATAATATTACTTGTGCCATTAAAAAGCAAACCATAAATGATTATTATTTTCTTTTTACTTTCATTTACTCGAATCAAGTCCAAATCTTTATCAACTAACACAAAACCAGCTAAATGTGATCACAATGAATTAGAACAAGCAATTCTTGATGAATTCGACCAATTGTCTATATCTCGAATGAGAAAAACATAATGGTGACAATTATAATTCTCGCTTATGTATATGTCGTTATTATGATTAACTAATTTTAGTGTATATTTACAAATGAATCTCTGTAATCGTCGATCTGAGATCTCAGTTCATGATAAAATTTCATTCCATTTTCTTAGAATCTAATAGAGATTTCTTACGTTTTTTCTTATTACAATCGGGACAATCATTTTTTTTAAACTTTACATTATTTGTTTATTTAAATTCTTTGTATTTCAAAAAAATTTGATTATTAATAATGTTGTTTTGTGTATATTGAACATTTGAAAAACATAAATATTCCCTTGTTAAGTTGTAAGTAAAAGTCAAAATGGTTGCACATTTTGAACAAATTAGTTAGATACAACAGAGAACTTGGGATACATGCACATCGGTTTAGTGTGTTACATTTTACTAGCACAGGGAGATGTGATAGTAAGTAATATTATGCATGGAAGATATGATTTGAGAAGGTATGTGTTCGTAGAATAGAAAACTTTCTTATAACAACTAAGAAACTTAAGATCTGAGGATAAACAGAGTGAATGCATTTATTCCATTGCAAACGATTCTGGTTCATATCACCCAACGTTGCCAGCCATTGATTACTATAAATGCGCGGACTATAAACCAGGTAATTTGCAGCTACTCACAAGGTTCAGTCCAACAGTCAATGACAACACGAACTGAAGCGATGTTTGATTTGGCCAGTCCTAGCTATATTTCAACCTACTCTTACATAGGTAATCATCGTCCATTGATGTAGGAGGGTGTATGTAATATATGCTCCAACCACCTAACTTAGTAAAGATTCAATACCTTATCAACTGATTTGCCATCCTTACCTTATACCTTAAACTGACTTCAGCACTACCTAGTCGTTGGTCCGGACATATACGAGCAACGGTTCGAAGGTGTTTATGGTCAACTACCGGTAACCTACGTTTTACATCCATAAAGCATAACGTAATGAGCTGTTGAACTCATCCTTTTGTTGGCATTAATCACTTTTTAGCGATTATTCATGCGTATGTAGTGTATTATACTTAAACTATTTCAGTAGGCTTACAACGGTTTACTTTTTTTTCGAGAAAATGGAACGACAAGTAATCCATTTACCGGATTAACCTAAACGACTGTCAAGTATTCGCTGTTTTCAGGTAGATTGAGAAATACAGGTTCATTACATGAACCAGCAACTTTTTATTTTACTAATGGCAATGTAAATAAAATTTCAGAACAAGTATGAGATTTACATCTATCAATTAATGAGCACTGACCATGTCATATTTTTCTGATCCTTAATGCAGCTGTTTAGCCATAAACTACGTAGAACCTGGTGCAAACATGGATTGGTTCAATTCGTCACATCACATTAGTACAGTGAGATGAAATTATCAAGATAAATGCCAGAACAGAAAAGACTATGACCCAAAAATAACAGATTAGAAGGATAGAAAGTATAAGGTGATCTTAACACTCAAGATCTAAAGCAAGAGAGAGACGAAATGCATCTGTGATGCAATCGCTTTATATAGTAGAAGTTGTTGATACTTCAAACATTGTACAAAGATGAAAATCACCTTGAAATTATAGAATTAAACGAAAACTGGAAGTTTTATTTATTAAATATAAAGTGTAACTTCTAGTTCAATATTCTGATTAAAAGAATATGAATGGTTGAGAGGAAGAATCCACTTTAAAATTTATCCTTTAAGTAGTATTGTATAGTGTTGGCGAATACTAATAGATTTTTCGATCATGAAATCAGAAATATAACTTTGTCATTTAGGTAAATTTAAGAGAATAAAAATACCCATTCAGAAAATTATTATTGAAAAGGTGAAGAAATATTTCTTTTCAGATAATCTGCTTATTATAATGCTTAATTTTGAAACTTAAAAATAAAACACTACGGTTATATCTAATATAAATGAAGTTTAAGACGAATGTCTTATACATAATGTGATAATTGCCGTTAAATAACTTTAGAATTATTGAGCATGTCAACATAATACTGGTTGATTTAAAACAAAATTTCTTTTAACCATTTAGTAATACTGAAAACACGCTCCCAAAAAAATCAGATTATCAGTATAAGGTTGTAAAGATTGTTGAGTTTGATTGAAATAGTGAACTGATCAATGTCAGACTATCGTTCAATTGATCAGTTCATGATTTCAATTAAAATGGCATAATTTTTTATAGTTAGTTACTTTTTGTTACTTTTCAGAAAAATTGAGTGTTCAAATATATAAAATTATCGAACGTATATAAATTGGTTTATTATTTAAAATTCATTCATTTAGATGATACTTTTAATTCAATAATAAATAGTCTATAAACTTACAAAATTGACTTGGAATCTTGAAAATTTAACGATAAGAAAATCTTCAAAAATGATTAATATTAAACAAAATAGTATTTTCAATGGTTGAGATCATGAGTCAATTGACCACCATAGAAAACCTGGAAGGCCGTGGGGGGGTCTAGCTTCAATTGACTTATGATCCCAACCATTGAAATTACTATAATATCCACAAAACCACTCTGGTATGAAAATAGTATTTATTACATAATAACAATATATTTCACAGATTGAAATCATGAGTCAGTTGAAGCTAGACCACCATTGAAAACCTGGAAGCACTGGACGGCCGTTTCATCCTAGTGTGGGACTCCTCAGCAATGCGCATCCACGATCCCGCACCACGCGGGATATCAAACTTAAAACAATTAGTAATTAAAAGTGAACAATATGTTGTCGTTAGCGTAGCAAACGTTTAAACATATATATATATATATATATATATATATATATATATATATATATATATATATATATATATATATATATATATAAAATCTAACTACTTGATGACTGTAGCCACTCATTTCTATACTATGTTAAAAGTTCTCAGTCAGTCAGCTACAACATACGATTAGGCACATATATGCATCGGTACAAGTTGCCATACCTCATTAGCACAACAAGATGAACACTGGATTCATAGCAGTAGTTACTTCGCTGGTAGTAATGCATAAAAGAAAGATTGCATATAAGGATATAGTACAAGAAGAAGGAAAGATATAAAGCGATTTTCATCTTTCTTCTAACCATACCCAACATTAGTCACCATTGCGTGTCGTGGTAAACGGTCTTCAGAAATACGTAACACGTGGCCCAACCATCTCAGTCGATGAAGATTCACAACCTCATCAACTAATTTACCATCTTTATTCTCTAATACCCTGCGTCTAACTTCACCATTACTTACCCGGTGATTCCAGCAGATGCGAACAATACTTCTAAGGCATCTGTGCTCAAATACTAGTAGCTTACGAATATCTACTCTTAATGGTCACGTTTCGCAGCCGCAAAGTAAAACAGGATGAACTGCCGCACAGTATACTCGTCCCTTAATTGATAGACGGATATCTCGAGTTCACCATAGGTGACGTAAGTCGGCAAAAGCTAAACGAGCATTCCGAATCTGTACTAAAATTTATACACATGGAGAAAAAACCCTTTAACAGTTGAATTAAATTGAACAATTTGTTTTCTTATGATTGATTTATTTATTGACTTTCGAATCTGGTAGCGTATTGTTCTCGCTAACAAATACGGTGTCGAATCGAAACATATGCGGATAATCATGAATGTTTACTGGTTAGAAGTACCAAGCTACGACAAAACAGCTTTCTAATGTTCCTTGATTTTCAATTACTCTCAACAAATAAAATCAATTCGTGATGAAGAATCATTCATTAAATTACGTAAAACATCATCGCATAGAAAACCACATTGTTGCATTTAACTATTCCTATTACTCTTGACATACTGACGTGCACAACCCATTTTTCGTGTGTCTATCTATATCTACTAGCACAAAGAATGATGCGTAGACAGGTATTAAGAAATTCATCTGTAAGTCGAAAAGAGAAAACATGCAGAATGCATGCACATTTACCACACAAGATATATATTAGTTGTTAATAATTTTGTGAATGTTTTTGTAACATAAAAACAAACTAATTATACATTACTTGAAATCAATAAAAAAGGAATAATTTGAAACTCTTGCTTTCCTTTCTCTTCTATTTTAATGATAAATTGTAAGAAAGCAAAAAAAGCAGAACAAGAAGTATCTGTATATAATTAAAAGGATAAACAAGCAATAGTGTAAATGCATGATATAATGAAGTGAAATGTATGGTTATTTTCGAGTAAATATGAAAACACAATAGAAGATCAGTCATAAAACGAGACTTTTCCCCCCTGAAATAAGGCACAATTTGTAGGTTGCGAAGTCAAATGATGTGTGACCTGTGAAAATAACGTCAAATATCCATGAATATAACCACAGCAAGTGATGAAATATATAAGTGATTAAATGCTATGTAAGTTTACTAACACACGTAAGAACTTACCGCTACTGTACGCACATTACCACAAAGCACTATGCTAAAGTATATACGGTTCCACGCATTACATCCCTAGCAAGTCATTCATTTATAATGTAGGACGCTGGGTAAACGTACATCAGCTCATTTTGCCACAAATCATAACATTATAGCGAGAGGAAATCAGCAGAACAAAGAGCTAAGGAGTCTACAAAATAAATTGTGCCAACTGCGAAAAACACTACACCGGACAAAGTGGACGCCCCCTTCACCTTCGCCTACATGAACATCAATTAGCAGTCAAACGGCATGATATCTCTTCACTTATATCAATACACGTGGACAACTGTGGACAATCATTCGATTGGAAAAATGTGAAAATCTTAGACAGAGGAAACTCCAAAAACACCAGAGAATTTTTAGAAGCCTGGCACTCAGGTCAATCAGCAATCAACAAACATATTGAAATCAATCCAATTTATCAACCAATCAGAAAAATCATGCACAAACATAAGAACAAAAATCAAAACAAAGAAGTAAACAACGACAAATTTAAGGTCAATAAGAACCAATCAACGTCGAGCTGCACAGGACAAGCTTTGAGACATATATGGAGAAATTCAAACACTTCACTTCTATCTGAAGTTTGTGCTGATGATGTCGTTCAGAAGAACGATGAAAGCTCCACGACCAAACCATCCAGCTCAGAGAACAAAACTCCACCAAAGTCTAGATGACTTTTATACTACTGAGTTATCAGAGTTGAGTGGTTTATTAGTGAAGCTTTCACTTTCTTTTCAGCATAAACTTCAGACTGAGGTCAGCGATTTGAATTTTTCCCCATACGATTAACAGCTTAATATGTTTACATTGGTTCTGAGTGGTTGATGCTAACTTTTGTCTTTGTCTGTGTATTTCTCTTGATAATCAAAATAATGAGCTACAAACTTCTACTAGTCTTCCTATAATTTCGATACGTAAAAGGTTTCCCGAAGCCATGAGAATTAAGATAGCATGAAATCAGTAAAACAATATCGTTTAATATTAACAACTAACACTACTTACTGTAACCATCACACTTCGACCAACTGACTTGTATATATTTTTAAGGTATATTCACTAGAATCTTCATTATCAGAGTATATCAGATACACTGATATGGCGTAAATTTTTATGAGCATTTGCTAGTTCAGCAAGCAACTTAGTGACATCAACTGGATCCGGTTGTGATTGTACTGATAATTTGGGATGTAAAGCCTGAAGTAATAAAATACAAAAATTGAAACTCAAATAACTATGTATAACTCATTTGTGATCGATCATTCAACCACGGAGTTTCAATTTGTGATATTTTCGTTACCAACATCAATGAATCGGTTATCCAGATTATAACAAAACAAATATGTTCAAGCTTGATTCAGTCAGCTTGATTACAATAACAAATTACAAGTGCGAATAATCGCATACACAAAAATAACAGTATATATATATATATATATATATATATATATATATATATATATATATATATATATATATATATATATATATATATATATATATATATATATATATATATATATATATATATATGCCTAAAAGCAATCATTTATTTGTTAATAAGTTAGTATAAGAGTATTTATCCGCAGATGAAAAACACTCCAGAACATTCAGTGGCTAACTACTTGTAGTCCTCTTAAACTAGACCTCATGGGTCACAAAAGTAACAGCCAATAATGTAAGATATTACAAACTGTTAAGTCTATGGCTAGTGTTCAGTAGAAACAATAAATTGGTTTGAAAATTTGCATAACTTGAAACAAAGCATTTATTTACTTGTATGAACACAAATATTGGTACAAAGTGGCAGCATATACATATGCACTACGCAGTAAAAACGAGAATGTGAAGAGATAAATAATGTAAGGTGCGTATAAGAAGGGGAACAACAATGAACAGAAATTGGTGTACGGTATTGAAATAATAATAATAATAATAATAATAATAATAATAATAATAATAATAATAATAATAATAATAATAATGGGAGCAGTCCAGGTAGCAAAGGTACAACCAGAAATTCTTCCAGTTAAAGTTACATCCATTTTTTATGAAGGTAAAAGAAAGTTATAGCAGGATCGGCACTGACTTCTATTTTGAGTCATATTTGACGTCTCCAGCCACTGTGTTGCACTATCTCTAGGACCTCAACCAAGGAGTAGTGAAGGACCAACAAAAGCCAGTCCGGTACAACTTTCTTTCAAATCACAATACCATATCATACACTGACCACCTCTCCGCTTCTCCCAACCAGTCCCACAGTCGGCAAATAATGCACGACATGGAATTCTCTGGTACGACATTTGTAGAACATGTCCAAGCCACCGAAGTCGGTGTTCCAAAATGGTGACACCAATCGGATTTTCGTCTCTGTGCCCGACCGAACACACGATGCCGAACCTCTGCATTAATACTGAGATGGTGTTGCCACTGGATGTCAGCAATCCTTCGGAGACAACGATGATCGAACACAGAGCCGTCTAACGTCCTCAACTCGGAGAGGCCAGGTTTAACAAGCATGGAGTAAAACTGCTCTCACCGACGCGTTGTAGATCCGACCTTTTACTGCCAGTCTGACATCACGAAGGCGCCAAAGATGGCCCAGATTGGCATAAGTCGCTCTGGCGTTCATTATACCTGAATTGACCTAATCACTCACGCCACCACCAGCACGTATGCAGCTACTCAGATACACGGACTTCTCGACTACTTCTATCTTATCACTACCCAGGGTGAGTGCAAGATCAGGGTCCTGCCAATCTTGTAGAAATACATCGTCAACCAGAACGAAAACCAGTCTGCTCCTCGCGAGTCAAGCTCTCGTATTTCGGAACAATCTACGAAGTATTACGGAAGCCAATAGTTTGGACACGATAGAAAGTAGACTTATCCCCCAATAGTTGTTACAGAAACTACGTGAACCTTTTCTAAAGATAGGGACAATTATCGACTCGTTCCATGATGTTCGAATACTGTTTAACTCCCAAACCTTTGTAAACAACGCAGTCATTTCCCTAACCAGAAGGCCGCCACCATCTTTAAAAAGGGTCAGAGGTAAGTCATCCGGACCCGGTAATTTGTAGCACTTCAAGAGTTGGAGTTGCTCGCGGACTTACGTCTCACTCGGTGGAACAGTCGTCACAGGCCATGGAGGGCAGGACAGCCCGGTCGATGTTGCCGGGGCAGCAGACCAGTCGAACTTCTCCTGGAAAAACTCTGCCCATCGTCCAAGACGTCGATAGATGTTAGTGATTAGGATCCCGTCAGCCTCATAGATTGTCTCGCCCACACCAGACTTTTTGCTGCCAATGGATCGGATGAGTTGAAAGAGCTTCCGGCAGTTACCAGATGCAACTGCTGCTTCAAACTCATTGGCACGCTCCGACCACCAGGCTTCTTGATCCTTACACAAGCTTTGCCCAATTTCATTACGTAACACTTTTCGTTTGTGGTCAAACTCGCGGTCACCCGGAGTACACCGACGGGCTTCAATAAGTTGTAAGGAACCTGGAGGAACCTAGTGCTCATAAGCGGGACGTTTCGCGAAGCCGCAAGCGACTTTACTCGCCATTTTCATGGCGTCATGCAATTGCAACCAATGCTCATCTATACTTTTCGATAGGATGTTAGCTAGCCTTGAACCTAGGTCGATTTGGTATTTAGTTGCAACAGGAGTTGCAATCAAGTTATTGACATCGATCCGTTTAGGTCGATGAATCTGTTGGCCATCGAAAAGTAAGGTAAGATTAGAGCAAACAAGGGCATGATCAGAGTCTAGATAGGTACTCAAAAAGGAGTGACAGTCTTATACATAACCACGCCAGCGGTAGCTGATCGTGATGTAAGTAATCTGAGTCCAGGCTTGGGATGCAGAGGGAGGGCGTCAGGTTGCACATTGGCGATGACTGTACCGGTGGTTAGTGCTAGCGAAGAACAGATTGTAGTCTGTGCACAGCTGTAGTAGACGGTCCCCGTTATCTGACCTGCGACCAAGTTCCCATCGGCTACCTAAATGACTCTCGTCTGTGCCTAGACGTCCGACCTGAACATTCAATTCTCCAGCTAGATTTACAATACTTGCCGAATGCATTTTCTGTAGAACAGTTAAATGGTAAAATTTATTCTTAATCGAATCCGAACAAAAAATCTGTCGGAGCATATGCGGAGAACGAAAAGACATCGCTTCTCACACCGATTTCCTCTCACTTGGATCGGACTTTCTAATCTAACAGCGTATAACCGACTGTTAATGGTGATCTAGTTGATCAGTGCTGCCTCAGCTCTAGCGCTTTATGCGATAATAATGCCAGAAAAACCAGACGAAGATGCTACAGAGGCCCTGGATAAACTCACGTAAAACAAGCTTTACGAAGCGACAGATGGAAAGCAAATTTGTAGTACTTCACTGGTCTTGAATACAGGTCTCGGATAGATAACAGACATTGATATTAGGACTTTCGAAAGACATAGCCAACCCTATCTGCACTAGTGTGCGAACGTGTAAGTCATTTTGAATGGTATACGTGGCTTCAAAAAGGCTGTTTCAGTATTCGTATTCGGTGGTAGCCTCAAACTTTTGACCAGTTAGTGACTCAAGATCGTTTAGAGAGAACAGGGTTTCCACTATATGCGAGCTGCCGCGTAAGTCGAAAAATAAAGATACATAAAGTGATAATAAATGAGAGTGACATGACGTAACACACAAAATGAAAATAAAAATGAATTTTATCAAATGGAAATGAGTTGTCTGAATCCTATTTGGAGCAAGAACAGTAATTCCAGTTTGTAGGCATCATTACCAAGGTCTAACTTGATAATTTCGAATCAATTGAGTATTGGGTAGATTGTTATAAATGATATATTTGTAATATCCCGATGAGTAGAAAAATGAGATTTTCTGACGCTTCGTGACTCGGTGTAAGCCAATTCTTCAGAGAACAAATAAAAATTAATCCGAGTTTAAATAGTATTAAATAAATATCCCGATATATATATACTTTTCGAAGGCTCGTCAACCACAATAAGTCCTACAAATAGGGGGCCAAAGAGATTGTGAATCCGCTCGTAATCGGTAACATGTTTACTTTAATCTCAATTTTGTAAATGTTGAGAATAATAACTATTCACTAAAAATTATGAATAGTGAAGTATTTGACAAGATAAACAGTTGACTGACTGGTGAGTCATGAAACTTTCGTCATGGCTATTTAACTGAACAAGATCAGACCACTATACTGATAACACTTTCGGTCTACAAACGATTCGAGAAATGAATGCTGACTGGGAAGATATAATCTCTAGGAAATTTTATTCGGTAAAAAAATTACATGACTGTTTATGTTAACTTCGATTAGAATTTGGTGGAAAGTTATCAAATATTAAGTGGATATCCCTATATATATACTTTGTAGTAATCACATTTCTTACATACTTAAAGTGTGAATGATGACGAGAAGAGTATCGATTCGTGTGTTGTTCTCTTTGATTGAACATATATTTTGCTTGGTGTTTGCACTTTCATCTCTATTGACAGCATCTGACTTCAAGTTTACTTTATATAATTAACTTGAACTTCATATTTCTTGATAAATTGTTGTCCAGATAATTGTAGATGGTTTTCAGCACGAACTTTCACCAATTAAATGACCACTCAAAATCATAGGACATTGTGTGTCTATGATCCAGTTAAGTCTTGAAACTAAGAACTTCGTACCTCACGATGAGCACATTATAATTAGACCATTACTGAGTCTAAATACGTTGATTTTAATGAATTGGCCATATGATGAGGCAATCGTCCCATGTCATTGGCAGGCAACTATCTCATTTCTGGCATGGTTGAAGTCTACTAGTCTGTGACAAAGGCTATCTATAAACTAAATTGATCTCCATACACCTCTGCAGCAAACTATGATATAGTTTGTAAGTATTATTACCAATGTTTGACTTGATAATTTCGAATAAATTGAGCATTGGGTAGATTGTTATAAATAAATAATATTCTTGTTGTTCCGTCGTACTATTTAAACTTGGATTAATTTTGATTTGTTACCGATTACGAACGGATTCACAATCTCTTTGGCCCCCTATTTGTAGGACTTATTGTGGTTGACGAGCCTTCGAAAAGTATATATATCGGGATATTTATTTAATACTATTTAAACTCGGATTAATTTTTATTTGTTCTCTGAAGAATTGGCTTACACCGAGTCACGAAGCGTCAGAAAATCTCATTTTTCTACTCATCGGGATATTACAAATATATTATTTATTTATAGTAATTTCAGTAATTGTCATTTCATTTTATTTGTATAGATTACACTGGTATAAACACATTAAGTTTTCGTTTGAAATAAAGTTCCCACGATTCAAGAACCGCTCTTTTAATGTTTCATTTTACCTTTCTAATTAGTTCTTTGTGATGCGTCACCATCTTACAATTGAAATGTCCATATCATTTTAACTCTTAACTTGGGATGTTGGTAGCAAAACGTTTTTGAAAACCTGTCGACCAATGTTTTTAACAGATCATGACATCTAACTTCGAGGTATAATAAATTTACTGGGCCTCAATGAATTTTCACATAATTGTTAGACTAGAATTTCGGTAATATTAAACCTTTCGTCACATAAAACAATTGACCACTTATATCCTTTTCAAAGATCTATTTTAATATCTGGAACGTAAGACTACAAACACTATATAGTGAATAATACCTTTTTAAATATATTAGAATTTATAAGAAAAGATATCAATTTGCTGTGTGCTGTCAAATATCACTAAAGTGTCTTTTACATCATTTCGCACCTAAATGCAAAATCTAATTGTCATATGAACATAAGCAATCTGTCCGATTTAGTACAGATTATTAAAACATGTCACTCTGAACAAAATTACTCATCATAGATAAATTTGAAGCGAAAACTAACCTTAATACTTAAGGATAAAAAAATATGCAAATTCGAGGAAACGGCTGGAGTTGATGCTTTAATATGCTGTTTTACTCCTTTTAGTTAGTCTTAAATAAGCCTACTAGTCAATACTTTTTTCTATGAGGTTAGATGAAGCTATTCATGGCAGTTACTTTTTGAAGTATTCATCTGAATCATGAAGCTAAATCAACTACACAGATCTTACCATTTAACAAACAAATCTAAAAGGCTTCAGTTTAAACAGTTCAACATATAAAAATGTATGTATTTTTGCCCAAATAAGATTGATTAGTGTTGCCATTCTTATTATCGTTTTTTATGCCAGGATAATAACGCAGTTGATCGTTGAAATGTCTACATAGTAATAAAAATTGGAGAGATGTCAAGTAGCAAAACTGATAGTCCGTGCAACATAAAAACACTTTGTTACCTTTTTTGAAGTTCTTTCATGTGTATTGGTACGAACCTCTTGTAAAGACTGAATTGGGCGTATTTCAACAGTTGGTAAGGGTAGTTTGGGACCATTTTTATTCCATTTTAGACCGTATGGAAAATGCTCTCCAACAACTACGCACAATTCATCCAGACAAGAAAGCCATGAGCGTAACCACTCAACATGTTCAGGAAGGCTATATACAAAAATCGCAGTAAAAAGGACATGTAAAGTGAGGGAAAATTACTTTCTCATTTGCAAAAAGTGGTAAAATGAATATATCCTACACTTGGTATCGTACACAACATATCTTTCCGATAGACTTGACTGAATGGAAGGAAAAGCAATAATAGACAAACATTCCTAAATAAAGCCGAACAGATTATGGTATAAATATAAGTTGGTGGCTTTCCATTTCAACAACTCTGAGTACCTGAGTGAACTAACTTACACCAGTTCCACTAAACTGGTAAATATTAGTCGATGCATCAATACTGTGATACATAATTATTTTTTTAAAAGGATCATTGAAGTAAAATGATGTGAATTTATTCATTTCGGGAATTAATGACGCAAAATAATCGACTTACAGAGACAATTGAATAGTTACTGACCGTTATTTATTGTACAACTGCTTTTCGATTTTAATTCATGAAATCAACTCGTAAGAATTGTATAAATATTCATTTCCACTATATATGAATACTAACTAATGACGTATGCATAAGACTGTAACAGGTTTCAAAAGCTTTACTATTAACACACTAGACGAATTTTAAGTACGTAGGCAAACACACTATTGAAGTACTTACTATGAAGACAGGTACAGTAAATGTGAACCTTGATACGAACAAAATCAAAATGAATCCAAACTTTTGATCTACCTTACTAAGTTAAGATGCGAAAGTGTGTTTCGATAACATAGAGTAAGCATGTATTCTCTAGTCCAAGGCTTTACAGGCGTAATACCCAATAGCCCATTTCGAGTCAATCACTTAGTTACATCAAGTAATCCTTAGGCATTTAGGAGCAAACAGTAAGGAATCCACAGAGCGAACATTGCCGCATCTGGTTAATAATAGTATTCACGCTTTTATGCCAGAAGATAACTTACCTCTCACGACAATACTGAAAGACTTTGTTAGCGTTCAACCATGTTGAGTCCTTCAATTCTTTAACGTACTGCGATGCTGAAGACTAAGATTTGTTATATTACGAATCTGTAGACTTACAGACCCAACCCAATTCAGTATAAGGACAGAATCTGCGATGGTCGATAGCTGACACTTCCGTACGGACATAGCTCCAACCCTGAAGTTCTTGACTTCATTTAAGTTATTACGGAGAATTAACGTACTGCTATTTCAATCATCTTATAATGAAGAGGCTTTAAGTGAATATCCATATCCACTTCAGTTGGTTTGCTATAAATGTTGGATAGTTCAATGAGATCCCTGACGAAGCCGAAAGCGTTTTGGACACATAATGACTACAAGTAGACAATGGATTGTAGTTACCTGAGATTGTATGTTTCCTCCCAACTTTCTACTACATGCGATATAGTTTTTAAGGCTATTAGCAATAATCTGTTCAAAAGCAACCAGTCCAGGAGTTTTTTCTGTGTAATGAACAAATCGACGTAGGACTTACCTGGTGTTATTGTTTGTGCTATCCTTTCAAGCCGAAGAACTATGGATTCTAAACGATCACAGAACTCTACTCTGTTGAGAACGCCTAATACAGATGACGTATTGTTGCTGCTGCCCTCACATAATAAATTCACTTTTGAAGCATCAATTCCATCAAGTTGGTGAACCGTAGACCAGTCGCCTAAACTAGCTGAAGCCCCGTCCCCAGCACCCGGAGTGTGACTAATGGTTGATAGCGATAAAGTCTCCTTAGCACTTCCATCTTGGTCAGCCTGTCTAGTATCGTTTAGGGTTTGCTTGTTTACACAGTTAGCATAGTCTGAACCACTACTTTTTGTACATTTACGGCGGCGTTTATAACAAGAAAGACAACTAAGTCTATTGCTAAATAATTGAAATGAAGAAAGATGACTAACGTATTCCTGCTCATATGTTTCGAAAGGCTGTAGATTTTTTTGCTTGATCTGAAGGAATTTTGGGTCCTGAGAAAGCGTTTGTAGTGTGTAAGGAAAGTTTGAAAGGAAAACAAGTGAAAATCTGAACTGAAGACTCAGCAGGCACAGAGTGTACTTACATTAACTAGTGTAAGCAGTTCATAACAATTTGTAGCAACAAATGTTTGAGATTAGGGTAACCAAAACTTTAAGTGGTAGTATGTGATTTCGAAACCGTTAAAAACCACGGAGTAGTAACGCACAATTTCAAATCAGTGCTCATTCTGGAGTTTTCAAGCCTCAGACTTTGCAAGATAGAACTAGCGCATTGTTTATCCCTTGGAATTTGCATTTGGTTACTAGAAAACAGTTTACACTTATAGAGAGGTATAGTCCTTGTTGTATTCCTCTGTAAATAAAATGAAGTAAATAAAAATGAAAGTAGTGGCAGTATAACACCTGGAGTAATCCCAGTTAGTACTCACAGAGCTAAAGTAATCATTGAGCCTTCTGTTGGAACAGTCTGTGGAAGTTTCCATCGGTATATATTTTGGTAGGATATTCCAAAACTTACAGACACGATATTCTGACGATGTCAATATATATCGAGTCATAAATAGTAAAGGTGGTAGGTTGACTGGTTTAACATTCGACACTTGCCGATAAATGCTTTCAAATGCATGATGATGCATATTGGTCATCAAATTAAAAACACACACACAGAAGATAGCATTAATTTACTTGGAAGTCATCGCTAGCACTGACTTAAAATCTATTACACACTGCCATGACAACCGCCAAAGGTTTTAAAACGTTATGGTCAGTACGTGGAGCCTCTAGGCGTATCGATGCCAGAACCTTCGTTTAACCACACTTGGTGTTCTTCAGTGTTCCCCATCCGATCTTTGATTATGTGACTTTGACTAAAGACTTACCTTTTGTTACCTAATTGTTATGTTACATGTTGTCGAACTATTAACAATGAGGTCGTGTTTGACAAAGCTCAAGTGGTTCAGTGTGTATCTGTTAGCCTTTGGCTGCATGCTCGGAAAGATTGCTGAAATTCCTGAAGGTAGGTAGCTGGTCCCATCTTGTTGGGAATATTTTTGTTGATTCTCAGATATTGAGCTCTTTTGTACTAACTGTTTCTTTTGCTGTTCAGCTCGCTAATTTGTGTTAGAGAAATCTTTGACTGTATAGCACAGACTAAATTAGAACCATTTAGATTGAACACAGAATTTTTTTGATGTATTTTAATGCGTGCAACTAAAAGCGCTTTGTACGCTATAAAGAAGAACGTAGTTTGATCTAATCGAATAAATTTAGGTTCGTTAGTTCTGCGTTCAAACCGAATATTGGAAATTCAGTTGTTACAACTAAATGTTTTGCCACCTGAAGTAAACAGACAAATGTAGTCACAATTGATTGATCACTGGGTGGCGATCAATGTCATGCGTGTCTAGTCCTTATTATTAGTGCAGATCGAATGCTATCGAACATGTTGCAATGTGGCCACAAGCATAGGTGACTCGAAACTGCGTGCACTATGTTGAGATTAGATGGTGGTTGGAGGTAGTCAACAAGAAACCCTGTCGACTACCTCCAACCACCATTTAAGACAAATGTAGTTCTCTAATCAGGACTCTCGAGGAGAGTACTTGCTCGGAAAAAAGACAAGAGAGAAGATTAGAGGTTTATGGTCGATAAACAGAGTGACCTCTCGAACTTCTATGGAACAACACAATACATGACTAGAAATTCCCTGCTGTAAGTGGTATGCTCTGACTCGGTGTCTTGTAGTCTGATAAAAAGAATACATAAGGTTGGCTAGTATAGTTTGCTTATTGTTTAAGGCTCCTCCGATTGCTGAGTTAGATGCATCTACTGCGATATTAATGGGTGCTTTGAAGCCCTGGTGTGCGAGAATGCTTTTCTCGCATTGTCGTCCAAATTGTTAAGTTTCGCATCTCCACGAAGTTGGTAGGTTAAAAGTCTCGTAAGAGACTCGTAATTCTATATGAACCATTCATAGAAACTCACTAAGCCGCTATGCATGTGCAGTTGATTGTAGACGGTTCAAGACAGTTCAGCATGACCACCACTTTACTTCTCAGAGGGTGGACGACTTGAGTGTCAGTGGTATGTCCGATAAAAACTAGGGAGTCAGTTCCAGTGTGACATTCCTGAGTGCTTTCAGTGATGTTGTTTTATTGCAAATGTTCGAAAATAAGACGCATGTACGAAGTTGAGATTCCGAAAAACGTCATCGACTAAACCCTGGAGTGTTTGTACAACATTTCTTAAACCAAAAAGACATGCGCTAAAATTCGTAGAGACCAAATGTTGTGATGATAGCGGTTTTAAGAATGTCACCCGCAATCATGAGAATTTATTTATATGCTTTAACCAATTCGATTTTCGAAAAAACAGTTTTACCTTTCAAAGTAGCTGTTAAATAGCGAATGTGCAGCAGCGGGTAACGACCCGAAATGGTTTTCGCATTCAATCATCTATATTCACCAGTTGAACGCCAATTGTCGCTGTCCTTCTTAGCATTCATGTGGAAGGGAGATTCCCATGAATTACTTGATCGTCGAGTGATTTCCGAATTTATCATATGGTCAAATTCGTCTTTAGCCAACCATAGCTTTTCAGGACTAGTCAGTGTGTTTTCGAGAATATGGATGGTCCTGTAGCTGTAATGTGGTGTGCAACATTGTTGGCTATACACGGTAAATTCGGTTTCATGTGGTATATCTTGGGGTAATTATTGAGTATTTGTTGTTAGTGTGGACTGATAGTGTGCATTACTGTGACTGGGTGGTAGTTTTCAGGTGGACAGAGAAGTTACAGAAACAGATGAAGCAGTATTTTCATAAACTAACCTCGTTTTTAGCGTGTCGATGAGTATATTGTGATGCTTCAGCAGATCTACACCAATGATCAACAAAAAAACATCTACAACAACGAAGATCCAGTGAATGGGTTTGTATAAATCCACATTGAGATACACATATTATCTACCATATGTGCCTATCAGTTTTCAGTCTGCCTCCTGTAAGTCTAAAACCGGTTCGTGCAGTCGATCTTTAGAATTCGCTAGAACGCTAACTTTTGCGCCAGTGTAGGCTAGGTAGCTATCTTTCGTAATCACATCAGTGACGTATAACAGACGGCTGTGTTCGCCGGCCATGGTTGCCGTTAACGCGTGCCGGCTGGGAAGTTTCCCGAAACGTTTTTCGTGTCGGTCGGTTAGGATTACGGAAAATCACAGGGTTTTCTGCTTTTTCATCAATGTTTCCCATACTTATTGTGATGCAAACACTAATCAGGCTTATCTGTCTCTCGTGCTCTAGAGACAGATCGTTTTCGTAAAGAACTACCTCGAGGGTTTTGTTACCGCCTGCGGTCATGACAATACGAAGGTAACATGTCAGAGTATTATGGAGTTTTGCAGCCTCATTTGACGTCGTTGTAGGCCTTCCTTTGAATAAACAGTCCACGACGTTAGACGTTCTAGTGACCTTCAGAATCCTGTCAGCAGATGCACCATCTCGTCTGCAGTGTAATGATAAAATGAAACAAGTATCGCCTTCGCGTGTTAGGGAAGCTTAGACAGATAAAGCTGGCCGAGCAAGCCCTCGTTGACCAGTGACCTCTATCATTCGTGACAATATGTTTGTTGCTGAGCCATGTTGTGGATCGATGTCGTTGAAGAATTGATCTAACCCTTGATGTTCAGCATAATCTTAGCGTTTAAGTATAACTCGTTTTAGAGTTTCGTACTGTTCCGAAACATCACTAACAGACATACTGGGTATGACGTACTCGTTGAATTTGTGAGGTAGTGATCTCGCTACTGTGAGGAATTGTGCATGTGGATTGGTCACGCTGTGCTCCTGAAGTTAGCTTTTTAATAGCAGAACCAGGCTTCTATATTAACAATAATAATAATTTATTCTCAAATAACAGTTTGTTAGTTGTGGCATGCCAGTTTACAGGCAAGATCAAATTGTTACGAATGATACAATATCCACTGTAGTAATTTACTCAGCTGGGTTGATAATTTATAAGATATGAATGTAGATGCTTTTAGTCAGTATCACAGTTGGCGCGCTTCATGAAAGCTGAGTCGCGACGTGCAACTGATGGTCAAGTATAGATCCATTGAAGGTGGGAGCTTCTAGAAATCGCAACCTTATATCCCTTTGGAATATCTGAAGCTTGAAGGATGGTGCAGGAAGAAGTCACCCGTTCCATATCTCAAAGGGGCTGAAAAAGGGAGCAAGTAAAAGAAAGGGAGAGATGCAGAGCAGTCATTGTTCATTAAAGAATATTTAAGGTACGGCTACTCAGTCTAATTTTCTTTTATTAGAGTATTTACAAAGCCAGAGCAGTCTAATAGGATAGAACAATGTATGAGTGGATAAACAGCTGACAAACTGATGTGGTTCAGAAAGGAGCTGATAATATGGGATTATGTGTAGTTATAGAATATAGTGCTAAAAACAGTATTATGATACACAATTGGCTATTTTCATTTTTTTCTCGAAGCTATTGGAGCCTTTTTATTTATTTTTTAAAATAGATTTTAGGGGTCTTCAGCGGGCTTCGTATTTTAGTGAATTGTTTAGTTTATTATCGGGCACTAGATGAAATGAGAGTGGCGTAAGTATCTTTATATTAAATAATTTACGAGTCTGTGATGTCATGATGAATATGAAGAATAGGAATTAACGAAAGGAAAAGTATTCAGAATTATAACAAGAATTACAACATGTGAAAATTGAAGTAGAAATATGATTCATCAAGTTTTAAAAAGGAACAGCTCACAGTTTACGAACTGGTGTACCAAATCACATCGGGCTCATCAGTGAAGATGTCAAAAGTATACGGAGTTTGACAACACCTCAACCAATAACATCTTTTATCATCGAAACGTGCCAACCTAGTGAAATCAGAAGTCAGAAACGAGGAGGTTAAAAGATATATTTGATAGAATATCAGTATATCGAGAAGCAACTAATCCA